ACAACTTTTCTTCCAGTAGTCCTGTAGCTGCTAGTCCTGGTTGCTCAGCCAACAGTCCTGAGTCCTGTAGCCCACTTGTCACCAGATGCCCAGGAACTAGAACACCTAACACGGTCCTTGCTGACCTGGGTATAGGTTTCGATAAATTACATCTCACCATATTGTTTATGGGAGAGACACTCTTCGTCTGGCTCCTCTGATGAGACCTGCCCAGTATGGTTGAACCTCTGGCATAGCTCTCATCCTCCTTGTAGCACGCAAGTTCCACAACCACATCAAGGTAGATGATGATGATTATTTAAATTTAATATAGCCACCCACTCCAGTGGACAATCTATCTTCAGATCTATGTTCTGGGATCAGATATGCCTTTCTAAATCATGTTTATAATAGCATGAGCCCTCTCTGCTTATGCTATCAAAATTCAGTAACTAATTACTAATAATCAACACCAGAGTTTTCTGTTGCTTTTAGATTTATTTCAATACGAAAAAAACAGAATTAATCATTGTCTCATCATTCGATCATATTAGCACTGAGATAAATTTCCCTAGAAGTACCTATAAAAGCCCTTTTAGCTAACCTTTTTCCCCCAAATTGTAGTACATTATTCAAAATTCAGAGTTTGACAGAGAGTTCAGAACACAAATGGAATTACAATTTTCCTGGAACGTGGATAGTCTTCAAACTTGTTGAGATACCATCTGAAGAAGAAAAAAAAGTAAGTGAACACATGGTTTGACCCAGACATATCAAAATGTTAAGAAATGTAAATAAGTGTATTTTTTTCACATTATGTGTGTGACTTTATGACAGAATGTTTCTTACCAGTAACTAACATCAGCATCAAAAACTTAGCACATAGTTCTTTAAAAGCAAATTAAATGGTACCAACTTATTTAAGAACCTGAAATTATGATGATTTTCAATTTACGTTGTTCCTTTCTACCTACAGTATATGACATTCAAAAGGGCTAACAGTCAAACAAAATACAAGCAAGCAAAAACCAGTATAAACCACTAAAATCATCCTTTTAAAAAGACCTGACTGACAAGAAAGGTTACTTCTGAAGGTAGGAAAAGTTGGGTCTTACAGATCTAGCATGATACACTATGGACTAACTAAGCAGGCAGAGCCAGGAGTGACTAATCTCAATCAGGTCTTTGTGATACACACCAGGTCATCATTTTCAATCGAGATAACAGGTACTTTGCAAGTAGCGGCCTTAGCATTATAACCTACAATCTTGAGGCTGAAAAAGCTACATTCAGTCTTATTATGACAACCTTGTTTAGGGTGGAACCTGAAAAGAGGGACGCAATCTATGCCCTCCTTTGTCTGCAGTTACAAGACTGAATTTCCCTGCTGTAGCTACTCTAGTCACTCATGCAAAATACATCCAAACGTTGTAAAGAAATCAGTTTATAAGCATCTTGAAAACACATGTTGGGCTGAGAGAATTTGCATTAAATGTGTAAATGACAAAAAATGGAAAGAATGCCAAATGTCTCCAAAGACAGGAATACAAGCTAAAGTGGCTTTCATAAAATGGAATATTAAGCCCAAACTAAAGAAATGAAATCTAAGAAATTTCAAATATTTCGATTAAGCTTGCCAAAATATAAGATATGTAACATAAGGATACTTGACCTGACAATAAAGTATGTGAAAAGAATATATTTACCTAACAGAAAGCTGAAGTGTTTCTCCCAAATAATTACATAAGTGGGGAGGGATTATACCTAATTTGCTGAGATGAGAAGATTCTGTTAACTGTTGAAAACAGTAGTTTGAGTATGTATGAGAAAATGAGTAATATAGGTAGATGCAGGATCAATTAATTTTGTAAATGGGGGTATCTCATTTTACAGACAAGTTTATTTTAATAAAAAGATTAATTCAATTAATTATTTTAATTTGTCCTGGTCTATCCTTCGGGAGTGTGGCTTCTGCACATCTATGAGGAGGGGAGAATTTCCAGGTTTCCTTTTCTTTAGCGTTGGCATTCCTTATTTGACAATATGCAGGGAAGGGAGGTTAGATTGACTTAAAGTCAGATCTGAGGGAATGCAGTAGGACTATAATTAAGTTATAAGACAGCAATGTGATGACTTGTATTAATTTGCCATATATTTTTCAATTCTCAATTGGAGTGTTGTAAAAGTTCTAGGTGTTATGGTTATGAAAAATGGTTTCAGAATTTGTTAACCAAGTGAACTTATGTGTAAAGACTGAAGGAACTGGATATATTTAACTCAAAGTAGAGAAAGCAAGGGATAGACATAACAAAACCTCAGAGGGAAAAATTCGATCCGGTGGGCCTAACCCACAGTTTTTGCTAAACATAAGGAAAAATATATTTGAGAAATTTTACAACAGAACATCCAGAAGCTTTAGAAAAGCTGGTATAAAATGTGGCAGCTAGGGTACTATGAGAGCCAGTTTGGTATAGCGATTAAAGGAGCTGGGTTTGACACCAGAAGATTGAGAGTTTTAATCCTACCTTAGGCACAAAGCTAGCTAGATGTCTTTGGGGCAGGCACACTCACACAGCCTTAGGAACAAGGCAATGGCAAACTACTTCTGAAAATGTTGCCCAGAAAACTGTAGGGACTTGTCCAGGCAGTCGCTGGGAGTCAATATTGACTTGAAGACACAAAGAAAAAAAAAGCTACTGATCAATACACAATATCAGAGAGCTGGAGAACAGTCTCTTTGAGGTATGGACATATCCAGTTATTAAAACTGGCAGCGGAGATTCTCTTAATAACGCCAATGTTTTCCAAGACCCCTCTATTGGGCCTATGGAAGATGGCCTTCTCCATATTGCTCCCAAACTATGGAATGCACTGTTTGGACATTCCGTTTAGCTCCTCAAGTGTTTCCACTTTGAAGAAAGAAATTGACATTCAGGAGTTAAGAAGCGGTACTAATAATAATTTTAGCTGCTTTATTTGGCTTTAATTGTTTACCCTTTGAGTGTTTGCTACTTTCAGTGTCCTTTAAATAGAAAGATTATAGATAAACCAGAATAAATAAGAAAAACTAAACAATGAAGTTGAGTGCCTAATTGGACATCAGTTCGCTTTAGCTCTAAATTTCCTACATTTCAAGCAGGGAATTTGATTAGAAGATTTAAAAGCCACCTTCAAACTCTGCAACCTAATTCACAAATTGCACTAAGCCAAATTGGGGGAGAGGGGGGTATTGTTGGGTTTTTTTACTTTGGTTTAGCATGTTATGTACTGTATACTGTATCTATGATTGTAATTCATAAACCCCAGTTTCCAGTATAACATATTATAGGAATTTAATCAATTGTGATTTATTCAATAAACTATAGTTAAATAAACTGTGGATCAGTGATACCTATGAAGTTATGACAGAAAGCATCCTGTGTTAAGATGGTACCTTATAAATAAAATATAAATACATTGTAATTTTACATAAAACTTGTTTTTAATAAACCTATGCCAGAAAATTTATTTAGTTAACAGATATTGTTCTAGAGTTATAGACTGTACTCTCTCAGCAGCTGTATATAGCTTTCACTTTTTCCATCTTCACAAAGGAATCAAGATCAGTCAAGCTTTTCAAACTGAATTAATACATTAATTGCTTTTATTGGATTTTGACCCTTTCTATTGTATTCTTTACTGCTAGTTGCCTTGAGTACTATATTGGTAGAAAACATATATGAATTAAATTATTATTATTATTATTATTATTATTATTATTAAATTTTTATCCCACTTTTTTTGGAAAAATAATTAAATGGAGTTGTACAAGCTTAGAAAATATTTCAGAAAAAGTGCTTCAGAACTTGTATGAGTATGTACCCCCGCTATTTATTAAAATATCCCTGCACCCTTGAAAAAAAGATGTGACTTCTTTAATGAGTTGAAACATGAAAGCAGCCCAACATCAATGGAACTCTGAAAAGCAGAAGCATCTTTTTTCCAGCTCTTGTGAAAGCCTGAAAAGAAGAATAACTGCTTTAAAGAATAGCAGAAAGGTACTAGTCTAGCATGAGATCCAAAGTGCTTCTTCCAAATCATTTTGAAGCTTATACAGCCCTGATAAACTGGAAGTGTCATTTAAAAACCTGCTTATTTTGTAGCAGGAAAAACATTATAAGAAGCCTCAAAAGCTCAGATATTAAAAAAGTAAATAAACCTGGGGTGAATGGATGAATCTTTATTACCGCCAAAGGCCAGAGATAGAAGGTATAACTGAAAACAACTAAAAAAAATAATTAAATAAAAGTAGAATAATACAATAATAGTGGATATAAAAATATGTTACAACTGGTGTATTATATGATACTTGCAAAGATGTGTATTTTTGGTGTTAGCCAGGAGATGATTGCTCAGTTCTCAAACATCTAAAATTATAGAATATACTCCAATAGAGAGAGCTGGAAAATCGATTTAAATTAGATCCTTCTGAAATTTTAGAAGATGGATGGCAAATCATTCTAAATCTGGTTCACATTTCTTTCATATGTTTCTGAAGAAATCCATTTTTCCCACATTAAATGCACAGATGAAAAAAAAAAAACTAACAAATTTCACAAGGTAATTTAATGCCTGTCTTTTGATTATTTTAAAAATATCTACAGGGAAAACTTAAAGTCTGGTTGCTTGGCAAGCTTGTTTCTATACGTTGAAAATGGGGCCACATACGTATATCTGACAATCAGTGAAACATGATTTACGCTCCTACTCCTTGAAGGGACTTTTTATGGATAAAAGATTACTTATTTTCCATACAATATCCATGGAAGGGGCAGCACATCATCCCTGTCTCACCGTTTCTAGGGACATGTTGTGAGCCTATTTACAATCTATCTCAAAGATTCATTCAAGTGTATGGATTCTGAAAGAGAATTACATTCCTACTGGTATATATGGACGAATCAGGCAAGTTCACCTTGAAATGTTAGGAGAGAACTTCCTTGCAGATGAACTAAATTACATGGTATTTTTAAGATAATTAATGTTCTTTATTAAGAAATACTTTTAATAAAAAATGTAATTTTCAAAACTAAGCAACATACTTATATGAATCAATGTTTAAAATTGGACAGTAAATATAATGTCTACAAGAAAAACAACTTCAGGATATATATGCACCAAATATTTATGACAACCATCATATAAACTCAAATGAACATTCAAGAGAAATTAAGATTTTGGAAAACTCACTGATGATGCGTATATGCTCGGCTTCCTAATACTAATAATGTGTTGATGGCAAAAGCTTTACTTTCTAGCGTCCTGCAGGCAAGAGCAAATCCACACCACTCAACAATCTCCCCAAAGTAGTTAGCTCCAGTTATGTATTCAAACATTCCTCCTACAGAAAAAAGAAAAAGTAGAATGATTGACTTAACAAGTAAAGTTCAATATGTTTCAACAAATATAAACTTGGAAGTGTCTTGAATATTTTCCAACCACATCTGTAATAATGAATGTGCTATATTGATATCAAATAAATCAAGGAAATTATTCAACACCACCCTTTTCAAGCATTAGATCCTTGAAAGAAGGGAACCATTCCTTCAAAACAAAAGAAATAATCATAAGATTATTGTTTTGATGTTAGAAGTTCAAGACAAAATCTCAATTCCTAGTTTTGGGGTACTGCCCTTTTAAAATGGAATAGATTAATTCTGTTGGCAGCTAGTTTTGCCAGTTGGAACTGTATTTTAGTGTTGGGAAGAGGATTTTTCCCCCTTTTTTGGCTTTATCCTCTGTCTTAGGAAACATAACCCTTCACTGTTTTAACGGGTTACCAACCAAACCCTCAGACAAAAGAGCAACTATTAGATGTAGTTAGGAGATGTATTTCAACATTTTGCGTTTGTTGTCTCTGCTTTTTTCCCATCTGCTGCATCATTCTTCACCAATCCCGCTCCAATAAAACCCTGAACTCCAGAATGGTATAAATGAGTGGAAAACTAGGCAGTTTGTCACTAGTTCCTAGGTAATAAAATCCTCCTTGTGCCTACCATTTAACCTTCTACCTGCAAAGCGATGAAGGAAAAACCTAACTAAAATCATCTTGGTCAAACCAGGAGTGAGCTGTTGTTTTTTCACAGCTAAACCAGGGAAACACAAGGCCTCATTATATTCTAGACTAGTCTTTCAAGGAGCCAATAGCAGGCAGGGCCACTGAAGCCTTGAATTTGTCAGATACGTTCCAGGTTTTCTTCACTGACTGCCATGAAAAATACCATGAAATATACTGGCCAAAAACTTTTCTGATAGAACAAATAAAGCAGGACACAAACATTGAGATTTTCAGGGGAAAATATGGCAACGAGAAAAAATTCTCACTAAATTGTGGGATTCAACATCTGAATAGCCTCTTCTCTACTAACAGATAAAGGCTATCTTGTTTAGAAGGTTGATGAATATCCCTCACGGTTTGTTGGGGGAAGTATTTTAATATATCCCTATTTTACCTGCATTTTTTGCAACTCCATCTTTAGTTTATGTGGATTGTCGCTTTTATTGTACTACAGCAATATATATTGTTTTGAGAGCATTTTCTGATAAAAATTGCATTTTAATATGGATAAAACAAACAAGTTTTCTCTTAGTTAACAGTACCTTTAAGAAATGACGTATTAGTTCACGCATCTTATAATGCAGATTGATTTTGGCTTGCCACCTAAGCCAATCCAATTACTGTGATTTGTATGCCTTAGTTTATAACAAATTACGTGGATCTAGTCAATTATTGCTTATTCAGCAAACCATGGTGTAGTGTTATGTGTGAATCCAGCCATACTGAACATACTCTGAATACACCCATCTCTTTAATAACATCCAAATAAGTTTGCATCATACATTTTGGAAGGAACTGGAGTTACAGGACAAGGATTATCCAATATTCCACCTATTTGTGTTATGGGTAATTCTTGGAAAATGTGTAGCCTCATCTATTAAACCTGCATTATATTGAAAATATTGGTGTGAATATAATGAGCTCAAGAGAGATTTCAACTCTTTTTTCAGCGCCAGACTGTGAATTTGCTATCTTATGTGACAAGGTAGCCAGGAACAAGGAAACTGTATTTTGCCTGTACCTCTCTATAGCCATTAACTGGAGTTGAAAAAACATTCCAGAAGATGGCAATGGAAAACAAGTTCTGTACTGTTTCCAAGAAAATTTACATGGAAGTTCAATAAGTTTATGGTGATCTCAGTCAGCATGTTCTAAAAAAGGGTTGGTTGCACTCAGCTGACCATAGCTGATCTAGAAAGCTAAGCAGAGTTCTGGTTAGCACTTGGATCAAGGATCATCTGGGAAATCCAAGTCTGTATGATAGATTGGGACACTGAAATATCATGCCAGAAGGCGGCAATGGCAAACCATTTTCATATCATGCCAGGAAAACAACACAGATGTATCTATCTAGGTCACAAAGAATTAAGATTAAATCAAAGGTGATTCTACTTAGCAAACATAATAACATTTTCCATTTATTTAATCAACTCCTGTAATAATCACAGTTAAAAAGAAAACTCTGGTTCAAGGTTTGAGGCTCTGGCAAGCAATAATTAGAATATTTCAAAGCAAATTTTAAATTTAACATTTGCAGCACTTACCTCTTGGGATTTTATATCCAGTCTCCCCTGGTTTTCTTAGGTTTCTCAAAATATGATCAGAATGCACGTTAATCAGGAGACCACCTAACCAGCCTGCAATCCCTGGAATAATCATATTAAAACACTGGCTTGAAAATTAAAGCTTTAAAAAAAAACATAGGTAGTCAATAAGTAACACGTGCATATGCTGAAGAAAGTGGTTCATTGCTCTGTATTGGCTTTATTCAATCTGGAGAGATTTCTCTGTACAGAGCTACTATGCAGTTACGAAATTAACTCTGTTCTGATTAATAATCAAAACTGATTATGGGTAACTCAGAATGGATGACATGCCTGCAAACTTCATCCAATAGTACCAGATATTGATGAGATTAGAGCCATTTGCTTGTTTTCCCATGCCAGTTTGGCAGAGATATAAAAAACCAGAGATTTCTGTAGTGAGGTTTTTTCAGAACCAGCACTCCAGGCACACAGAAATCAATACAGATTGCCATCTAAGTAGCATGAAAAATGGTAGTTACTCTGAGAATATGGATGAGAATTCATGGAGAATTTTTTTTAATGAAATAAGATGAGCAAATAGTTTGTAAGCAAATTTGTTATGACTTAGGCTTTGCAGACTAAGGCCATTTCATAAGAAGCATAAAATTGCAGGATACAGGACAAATCCACACAGCTTCCTTGCCCCAAAGCAAGAATAGACCACTAACTATTTTCCAAGCAAGCTTCCACCTGTATCTCAGAATCCCCCTGCAGCTGAGACAGCCTTAAGGTACTACAAGCTGGAAATGGGAACACTATGTGACTGAGATTTGGGCACTTTGCAACCCGCAGGTGTTTATGACTGCTGCAGCATCCTGTGGTCACACAATCACCATTTGTGCACTTCACAGCCGGCTTCCAACAAGCAAATTCAAAGGAGAAGCTTCCGTAAAATTGCGAATTGCAGTTGTGTGATCTTTCGCTTAATTATCAAGTCACTTAGCGACAGAGTTGTCAGTCCCAGCTGTGGTCATTAAGCAAGGACTACCCATAGTTTAGAGTTCCCACATTGTTCCCCACAATTAAACCCCTTTTTCAAACTCCAGCATTTCAGCAGGACTTATTTACTGGCTACATCTTTTTTTTTTTTTTATCCTGCCTTTATTATTTTTATAAATAACTCAAAGTGGCGAACATACCTAATACTCCTTCCTCCTCCTATTTTCCCCATAACAATCCTGTGAAATGGGCTGGGCTGAGAGAGAGTGATTGGCCCAAAGTCACCCAGCTGGCTTTCATGCCTAAGGCAGGCCTAGAACTCAGTCTCCTAGTTTCTAGGCCAGCACCTTCACCACTAAACCAAACTGGCTCTCTTAAAATAAAATTTAATTTTACAATAAAATCTTGGCTAAACAATGCTGACTACCATTAGATGGTAGCTAAGAGATACAACCCCCCTGCCCCCCACAACTCTTTGCTCACTGGGTGACTTAGACTGCTTATTCTCTTTCAACAAAGCCAACTTCAGAGGGTTGTTGTAGGGCCAAAATTAGGGTAGACTGCCATGTAAGCCATCTTGAGTGGGTCAGAAATATAAAAATGAAGAAATAACGTTGGGAAAAAGTATGTTTTTGCTACATGTTCTGACCATTCAAATAGCTAACAAAAATACGAATCGCTTCTTTCTCTAGGACTTCTTTTTCACTAGTAAGTGGGATGCAGCACTCAAGAAGGTACCATTTCAGCTTGAACAAAAGAAAAAACACAGCTTAACACAGAGAGAGAATTTAAACTCTTCAGGGTAAGAAACAAAGATCAATTGTTAACAATCTGACATATACGTGCTATTTAAACTGACTCACCAAGAATGAAATGTGGTTCTGTTAACCAGTTGGAAGAGAATTCTGCATAATTACTTAAACTCCGGCCTTGTAAATACCCATTATATAAACAGAATACAAATGCTAACACAAATGTAGGAAATGGTGTTGGCTTTCCTCCACGAATTAAGAAAGGAAAGATGAATGATCTGGAATATGAAAAATAAAATTTTGATTTAATTTTGAACACTACAGAAATATACAATAATTCACAGACATTTGCACATGTATATTTTCAATAGCAAAACTCTATCCTTAGATCGTTTTTCCATTACAAAAAGCTCAAGAGGGAATACTAATAGTAAATACACATGCATGCACGCACACACATATCTTGTACTAATATTTAAGTGTTTAAAGTTTGTAGGGCATATTGCTCACAATAGCAAGGATTAGGCATTATAAATCATTCTGTTTCAGTTGTTTAATGAGTACTGTGTTAAAAAGATAAACACAGCAAAAAGTTATTGCAGGATCAAAGTGAGAAAGGGAAAAGTTACTTGTCATTTGCAGGCTCATGACTAAATATATTCTTTTTGGATGAAAAAAATCCCTCATCTCAGCCCCCCAGGCGCGTTTAATAACTTGTCAGCAGTAGCTACAGTAGTAGTAATACTGTCGAAGTGTTGATACACCTAGCCAAATTTGAATGGAAGAAAATGAGGACAGGAGGGAACACAAGGCTGTTAGTATCACATTGCCTACAAGGATCAAGCAATGCACATTGATGCTAGGGATTTTGAACAAACGATGCAATATCCTTAGGGTTACCGCTTCATATACTCAACTGCTGTTTCTCAGCAACAGTGAGTTCAGAACTAAGGACTCTATGATATAAATTATTTAGGGGCATTGAAAAACAAATTTGCAGTTTGTCTAGGTTAACTTTGGATGGCCTATACTATTTCACAAGTAAATTAATATATCCCTTTATAGTTCCTGAAAGTACTGGTGCTATACAATGGGTGGGCAATATGTTGGTACTCAGAAGCAGCACTTAGCTTTTTTTTTTTTTTTTTTTTT